GAGGGGTATCCCGCGCGACCGCACCGCGAGCCCGCTCGTTAGGTGGGGCGCTCGTGAAGCAGAGTCAGTGCACTCCTATGCTCTGTGCAAATGTGTTGTAATGCTCCAAACAAATCAGTTTTGTGAGATGTGAATGTTAATAGTTATGTTAAAGTGACTGACTAGATTAGCTAGTGTAACACAAGCACTCTGAGCAACTCTGTGTAGCTAACAGAGGCATTCACAGGTTAATTAAACAAGCTGTGTTTCATGATGCACTAAATAGTGATTTTGCCAGTAAATTACTGAAGGCAACAAATGTGATGTATTTACCAATGCTGTTATTGAATATAACTGTTTAACCAGTAAGACACTGCAGAAGACAATGTGATGTGTTTATTGATATGATAAAGGAATGTAAATGCTATGGAAAGAAGTGTGAACTTGAGAAACTGAACCAGTTAAAGAGAGTATATTTCACTGAGGTTGTGAAATAAGTAAATTGATTGATAAGTAATTGATGTAAATGAGAAACCAGCTGAACAGTATATTGAAAGCTCATGTTTAGTGTTTATATAGCATTTATTTGTGTGAAAGAAATCAGACTCAGACACGTTCTGGAGGAAAGCAGAGACGCATCGTGTCTTCCTTACTCCGCTCTTCACCTGCTTTTACAGGTAACATATTTGTCATCGTGGTCTTCATCCTTGGGACCCGTAACATATTGTAGTAAAAGTAATAAAAAATCAGCACAAACATGAGATGGAGAATGCTCATCTTCAAAGTAAAAGTTGTGTCTTATGATTGCGAGCATGATTGTAACAAATATACACACCGGTTTTGTTTATGCAAAGAATTCATCCTCAAAAAATGCAAAACAAAAAGTTTACTTACTGAAAGTTTAGTTTGGCTCAACAAAGCTCTGACCCTCTCTGAGCCTGGCAAGAGTCTAAAAAACCAAACCTACAACAAAAACTATTTTTCAGGCCAAACGAAAGTCTTAAAATGAGTGAAATGTAATTAGGCGTCATACACAGTAAGTATGTAACAGTATTAACTATACAACCAACTTCTGCTGGAGTAGAGTTTAGGTAGCTACTCTGCATTTTATTGTCACATGACATCGTTAAAAAATGACAGTTAAGGGATGACTTCTTTAAAATGTGCTACAGCACGTAAGTTAAAATCAGAGTTGTAAATCTGTCACCCAAATCCTGCCCCGATTAGAGACTGTAAATAACTCTTTGTACCAGCTCCTCATTTAGTAAGCAAATACAATTTCAGGTGTGTATCACTTATTTCTCTTTACTAAATAGCTCAACTTATTATTCAGTCAGCACTTTTGTGCTCTGAACTTATTTTTTTAACCGGGCTTACCTTGGCAGGTGAGATGCTGAATATAGAAAAAGAGATTCAGTCTTGCACACTCTCTCACAGCAGATCCAGAATGAACACAGTCAGGAGTGATTCTCCACATAGATCTGAGTGAGACCACCTTCCTCTGGTCTACAGAAACAGCAGATCCACAGTCCAAGTGTTGGCAAACAGCAGCTGCCTCCTTCAGGGACCAGTCTGAGGAACCTACTGATCTCCACCCTCCTTGTTTTACCTCCACTGTACCTTCACAGTGATTGGCTCCTCCCACCAGCCTGAAAGGCTCTAACAGAAAGCAGAGAGTCATCAGTAAAAGAATAAAGTGAGTCTGAACCACATCAAAGCTGCAGCTCCTCTTCTACCTGAGCAAGTGAGTCCAACAGCTTTGCCAGGTGAGCAGCTGTTTCTAGCTGAGCCTGAGCTTCTACAGTCCAGGAGAGCAGACTCATGGCCTCCACACTGCAACTCTTTGCTCCACACTGGAGCCTCCACTTCTCCATAGAGCGCCCCCTGGAGGACCGAAGGAGGCCCACAGCCGAGCTCCCTACAGACCACCTCTGCACCCTGCTGGTCAAAGTCAGCTTCACACACTGAGGACCAGCTCTGGTTAGACTTCACCTCCAGTCTGCCTGAACACAGACTGGAACCATTCAGCAGCCTGACAGAGTCTGGAGAAATAATATTAAATACATTTTTAAAAAGGAGGACTTTGTGTTCTTTGAAAAGGTAAACAAAAACATCATACTATAAGGGGAAAAAAACCTTGCCAGATTGTCTTTTACTTTTTGCTGTTAAGCCTTCCTGTAATGTCTTGTGTTTATTCTTTGTTTTTCCATTTTTACAACCTTACTGGCGCAATTAGCACTCTGACAAAGTACCAAAACAGTGACAGGACTAGTCATACAAGGTGAGGGAAAATTATGAATCAAAGAAACAGCAGAGTAATGAAACACGTCTCAAATTAATCAAGACAATCACACAAAGGAAGTAAAACTCAAGACAGTACACGATAGACATAAACTCAGTCAAACAGGACTAGAGACCAGTTGACCACCACCTCACAAACTCTGCACCACTGGGAAAAATGTGTATTTCCTAAGTGACTGGAATGTGGTTGCTGGAGGTGATGATTGCACTGGTTATCCCCAGATTTTAGTAGTCATGCATAGTTTGTATGAAATACACGAATTTTTTTGGAACTACTGTCTGTATTTGTGGCACCCCTGTGAGGGAATGACCACATTAATATTATTTTGTGTAAAACACCCTTGTAACGGGACATTTTTCATTACTATATGTATTTATTTTCA